TGTCCTCAATGTTCTGAAAATTTCCTTATGTAAGAAGTAATGTTACAGTTCATGTTCTAAAGCAGGGCGTATGGGGCAAATGACGTTGCAAATGACGTTGCAAAAAATCCATCGAATCGGGGTATCAAAATTAATGGGGGTTCCAAACCCTTTTTCGTGACCCTGCCCATTGATTTGGAAACGTCCATTCAAGGGAAAATTTTTGCTTGACGATATATAACATTTGGTCATTTGGTCATTTAAAATTGTGTATACAATTTTAATTTTCACCGGGATCATATGGCTCTAAGTTCTACTGCCTTTGATTGGCATGGTCATGAGTCATGAGTCAGGTTGTGTGATTTTGAGCCGAGAGGTGAGCCAAGCACTGCGTTGATAGATGGCGTTTTGGGTGCGGGATACAGAAAGCGTCGCAGAATTCAGATACTTTTGGGAGGACAAGCCAATGACATTGTGGCGTGGCCTGTTTGTAGGCAAACAGCGAGCAGTTTATAGACCATTGCAGCATGCACAATATTCAGGCCAAACCAAAACACACCATCTTATTTTATTTTATGCTGAATACTTATGAAGTTTAAATTTAAACTTGGCAGGGTGGATCGCTGGGTTGAAAGAAAACTTTCTGCCAACAGTTTTCTGGTTCAGTGTTTCTGCTGTGGTTGGTTCGATTTCTATTCCAATGATTTTTCAACTTGAGTATCCCTTTCCCAACTTCTCAGATCTTGTCATGTTTTCAAATTTAATGTTTGCTTGCCGGCGAAGTGGCTTTACCAAACCCGGGTTTTCAATACTGCGTGTTTTTTGCCAAAACATGAAATGGAACTTGGTTTTTCCCGTTCTCTTCTCTTTCAACTTGGGGCCCCCATGGAGTTGCAAGTTGCAAGCTTGGAGATTCTGTGAGAAAAGCATGGTCAACCTGGGATTCTCAGAGCCTTCCCAGGACGAGCAAGAGCAGAAGCATTTTGAGTTTCTGAACATGGCATATCACAGTTCAACATAGTTTCAGACATAGTTCAAGACATAGTTCAAGACATGAACTTATAGAGGATGCAAGCCTAAAATGGACGTTTCGAACTATTTCGAACTATGTTCGAACTATGTTGCTGGCAACGTTTTCGTTTTGAAAAGGTGCAGTAGTGTGAGTCAGGATTGGCCCTGCTTTGCAGGACGGACCTCACAGCGATCAGGAAAGGCGAATGAGAAGTTGCACGCCATCAAAAAAAAACTTGGTTTGCTCAGTGCCGGGCCAAGGCCTTTCACCCGGACACTTGAGAAGCCACGATGGGATATGTTGAACATTGTTGAACAAACGAGAATTGGTGAAGTCGGATGTGGAAGTCGCCAGATTGAAGGCCAGGCTTGGCCAGACTGACGGACTGTTGGGGGCATTGCTCGTTGCTAATCCTTTCGCTGCATGGGCCCATGATTTCCAAATCAGAAATGAGAAAGATCCACAGAGTTTCCGTAATGTATTGTTACTTCATTTTCCTAATATCTTTCAGACTAGGACAGCCCAGAGAGCAACTTACTTTGTGCTACCTCATTCAGTAGCCGCTTAAAAGCCAAGCTAATTAAGAACATTTGACTTTAACTTATTATTATTACTTGGCTATAACTTTAACTTACAACTTACAATTTGATCCTATAATTTTAACTTAAAACTGTCAAAACAGACTTAAAAAATAAAAAACATATGTTTTTTTCTGCTGGCTTTTACCGTGCACTTGAGCCGTTCCAAACCGTTCGAAGGTAAAAACAGCCCAAAAGCGAAATAGTTCGAAATAGTTCGAAATAGTTCGGTGCCTCTTGAACCGTTCCAAACCGTTCAAGGGCACAGGAAAAAATGACACTTGAACCGTTCCAAACCGTTCGACGGGGGCCACTTATACTGGCTGATTTTGGATCATATTTTGTTATTTTTTTATGATGTTGATATCTTTTGGCATCTTTTGACTTTCTTTTGATAACTTGTCACTTTATCTTTTTTGACCTTTATATTATGATTCTTTGATGTTTTGGACGCCAGTCAAACCAAACCAGTCAAATTAAAACGTCAAAACCACTTGGCATTCTGACGCAGGCGGTGCCACAGGGGGAATGGTTTTGATCCCCACGTGAAAATTCTTTGGGAATGATGAATATGAATATAGGCATTTCCCCTTGGTCACCTGGAATTTTGGAGAAATCAAATGAGAGGGTTAGATACCATCATCCACCCAGTTCGCCTTTTGCCGCAATGAACAACATCGGAAGCTACATCGTATAATTATATACCTTGTTACATTGGTCTTACTTTGGGCTACTGGTTCTTCAAAGTCATGTGTTTATCTTGGCCAAAACGTCAGTTGCAACGTCATTTACTACATAAGCCCTGCTTTAGAACATGAACTACAACATTACTTCTTACATAAGGAAATTTTCAGAACATTGAGGACAACGTCTACGGACGGTGTCAACACTGATAGAGGACACTGGTTGAAATAATATATAATAGTATTAATATCTAATTTTCATATAATGTTTATCTAAACTTTATCTAAGTTTTATCTAATTTCTATCTAACAAATCTAAAATCATCTAACAATATCTAATAATATCTCGTATTCAACAATATCTAATAGTATCATATAGTATCTAACAATATCATAGACAATATCCAACAATATCTTTTGAGATCCAACAATATCTCACAATATCTGAACAAAATCTAATAATATCCAACACTATCTATTAATGGCCAATGATTTATGATAATATCTAACAAGATCGAATCTTATCCTGTATTATATGATAAAATCTAACAAAACCAAATAGTTTCTCATGTAACAATATCTGACTATGTACATACGCTAACGTTTGCAAAAACAAAAACACTCATATTTACGCGCAGCTCTGCCTTTTTAGGGATGTGGGGGCACGCCGTTGATTGCGGCTGTCCCCTGTGCCATTGCTTCCGCCGAGTTTTTGCCCTCATTGCCCTGGGGCCTCGCTCCTTTCAGGGCCAGGCAAAAAATCGGTTCAAAAAGTGCAAAAAATACTGTAATTTACAGGGGTTTGGTGCTGTCATGGGCAAAAAACTGCGTAAATACCAGCGTTTCAGCGTCCAAACGTGGCCAAAACACCGCTACTTACAGTGGCCAAAACACCGCTATTTACAGTGTCTCGTGCCTTCCACGTTTTCTTGACATTCCTATGTTGGGCCTATGTTGGCCCATGTTGAGCCATCTTGGGAGCTATGTTGGGGCCATGTTTGGGCCATCTATGTTGAAACGATCTTAAGATGCCAATTGTTCCGCCCCGGGCCCCTCCTGGAGCTCAAAACCAGCAAAAAAAACGAGGTTTTGCAACATCGGCAAGATGAAATCCTGTGCCGCCGAAGGGCCCGAAACAGCGTTAAAAAAAAAAACGATGTTTTTTTACACCGCAAGCAAAAACCCCGTAAATTAGAGGTCCTTCAGTCTTGCGGGAGTCGAGACGGGGTGGTTTGGGAGGTCGCGCCGAATCCGGCCAGGGGCCCACGGGGCCCGGAGCTGGCCGTGGCCGTGGCATTGCCGTACGGCAGTTCTCTCCTCTCCGAACGACAAAGGGGCCGCCGCCCCTGCCGCCGACCAACCCCCCCCTCTCCGTACTGTACTATCAAAAACTACCGCGGTTTACGGTGTTTTTTGCTATTCTCATTTTTCGACTCTTGCGGCTTAAGATGGGTCAACATGGGCCGACATAGGCCGCAAGATGGGCCACCATAGCCCCAAGATGGGCCCAAATTGCCCTCAAGATAGGCCAACATAGCCCCAAGATGGCCTTAAAGATAGGCCAACATAGCCCCAAGATGGGCCAACATAGCCTTGAAGATAGGCCAACATAGCCCCAAGATGGGCCAAGATAGGCCAACATAGCCCCAAGATGGGCCCATATAGCCTCAAGCCGTGGGCCCCTGACCGGCTGTCGCGCGTAAGCGCTTAAATTTAAAGGCTTATTACGCCTGACAGCCGGGCGCTGGCCAAGCAACGACTTTTGGCTTATGGTGTGGGAAGATTGGGCCGAGATTCTCCGCGCAAACCCATGGCTATGTTGAACTGAGGCAGGCATAATGCGCAGTGCTTGCCTGTATGGAAGCAGTCTGGGCCTATGTTGAGGGCAGGTTGTGCCCATGTTCAGCCAAGTCGCGCCCATATTGAGCTATCTTGGGCCCATCGGGCTTATGTTGGGCCAAGTCGGGGCCCATGTTGAGCCATCGGGCCCATCTTGGGCCTATATTGGCCGCTATGTTGGGCTCATCTTGGGTCCATGTTGGGCCTATGTTGGGACTACGTTGGCCTATGTTGGGCCTATGTTGCTCATGTTGGGCCATCTTGGGAGCTATGTTGGGGCCATGTTTGGGCCACCCCCCGCCGTCGGCGGGGTCTGCGGATATTTGACAATATCTAAGACTATCTAATCATATCTAACAATATCTAAATTTTATATTTGACATTAATATCTAATATAATCCATCTATCCATATGAGTTGTCATTCGTATCTATGGAGTGTCCGATGCCCCTTCGGAATCCTCGGGTGTGGGAAGAAACGGGCATTGGAGGCGAGGCTGAACCGAACAACCTCAGTGATTGGCCCGATCCTAAACCCCGAAATGCTGCGGTTTCTGCAAGTCAAGGTGGATGATTTCAAATTTTGTCAGTATCCTTTAGTGAAATATGACACATATGACACTGAGACACTCCATCATTGATATCAATCCCTTGCATCGTCTGCCAGCAATCTCAGCTATCTCCAGCGTGTATCGGAGAGGCCACACTAAGAAAGGTGGCTAACATCAACCATCCACCGACGGCAGAAGTAATCAGTAAGTATTCTGTCTACCTGGACCATGTTTCACAGCAGTTTCAGACGGCCATTTCTAAAAAACGGAATAGCGCCCTTGTCTCAAGCTCTTTCTTCAAGACCATCAAAAGAGATAAAGAGGGATAAGAGGTGAAACGACAATACCGACAATGGCTGGAGGAGTGCAATGGCCCTTGGAATCTGTGCGATGGAAGGTGCTGCAAACGGCTGGGTGCAGCCTTTCGGGCTTTTGTGCATTGTTTCAGACTTGAGCAATGAAAGGAAGATGTGGTTTCCGTAGCTATGGAAAAGGCAGATGAATTGAATAAAATGAAACCCCAGAACCTGAACGACACCAGCGCTTGCGCTCCACCAGATGAGTGCCCTGGCTGCAGCCAAGACAAGTGTTGCAAAGTCAACTGTAACCAAAATCCCATGAGGATCAATGGGATGCATAGTGCATCAACAACGTGCTCGAATTTGCTCAACAAGCAAACGCAAGCATCGTCAGGCTAGTTGAACGTAGTTGAAACATACCCAATTTGCACAAATAGAGAGCCGCTTGAGTCTCGTGCTCGAGCATTTCAAGTCATTTTACGTCTTCTTTCATTTGAAATTTCTTGCCTATGTCCAGCTTTGTAAGCGGAGCCAAGATGAGTCAAGGAAGTGGCACTACGCAATCTTCCTTTGTATTTGTTGCCTGTGGCTTTGTGTTGGGATGAACAATGCCTCAGTGGCTTGGACACTCAAGGACAGCATTTGATGCAATACATTCAAAGCGACGGATGTAGGATGATTTGAGAGCAAAAACAACTTAAGGTAGAAACACAAAACATGTAGAAAGTAGATAGAGGTAGACTGAGGTAGATGTAGGTTTGGAATGGTTTGGAATGATTGAATTATCAAGGTCAGGATGGGGTTTCAGAGCAATCAAAAATTGAGATAGACGGTATGAACAGGGAAGTCAGATACTCCAATGAACTGAATAACACAAGCGCCATTTCCATGTGGCCAGGATTCATGCACAAGAGTGACTGGTTTGAAGTTCAGCAGTGCAACACAGTTTTGTGACTGTGGAAACATATAGAGAATGATACAGCGACATGTACACTATGCGAAACTAGAGACATGTCTGCGAAACATTCATCAACATAAGAAGCAAGGCTTGAGTTGCCATGTCAGATTTCGTCAGGACATAGCAGACTCACAACTCCTGGACCTTCGGCAAGAGGGCGTTCTGGCCTCTGGCTTTGCGATGGGCTACTGCCTTGGCCCTGTCACAATGGGAATCCTGCTGGACTCTTGGCACGTCTTGGCACAGACCCCAGACATACCCATACCACTTCTGAAGTTAGGATTCTCAACAACGACAAGAAATTTCAATCAGACTTCTTGGACATACTCGGACTTCGTTTAGCTGTTTAGCAGAGCCACTCCTCCTCGATTTAGCAACCAGCCATGACCAGCAACACTTTTTGCGGCGATCCTGGCACCCAGCAGACACCAGCACCAGATCTGAGTTCTTTTCGAGCGGATCTTGAGGAACACTCAGATGCACTTTCTTCTAAGCTCATTGCACTGTGCTGGTCCGAAGATTCAGTCAAGCATGGTCAAATTTTAAATTGTTTGTAGCTTTCAAGGTTTTTCCTCGTTTTTATCCTTGTTTTTTCTTGCAAAATTCCACCCACTCCTGGCTTTGCTTGCTTGTGCGCTCTTCAAACCTTCTTCAAATGTACAGTACAATGCAGTACATGTTTGCAACATTCCAGGACAAGATGGGAAGGCGACCGACCTTGCTACTGTGCTGCATTGTGCCCTCAGTATGCCAAGCTGCTACTTGCCTTCGTTTCGCCTAAACTTGTTTTGCTGACGCCACTCCATGAGATGTGCTCGTGCGACTCACGCAATCTCACGCGCCAGTCAGTCAAGATGTTTTTGAGGTTTTATTCGCGGAGACAAACAAAATCAAACAAATATAACTGTAATATAACAAACGGAATCAAATGGATTCAAGGGATTTCAGAAATTTCATGGGATGCTTGACCCCAAAGCCTCCTCACAGTCAAGGCAGCAGCCTATTTGGTGAGAGTACCCGTCTTGGCAGCAAGCTCAGAGACACAGAGAGTAAACACAATGCAACAGGAATGCAACACCAATGCAACACTAATGCAGCAGATGCAACAGTTCATAACAGTTCCTCGCGGGCTTTTCCCGTGAATATGGGACCAGGGTGGATGCCACCACCGGGCGGACAGTCGCTTACACCTCCAAATTTTTGTCGCTTACAACTCAAATGTTTGTCGCTTGCAACTCCAGATCGGGACCCATGTGCATGGTGACATCGATGTACTTGTGCTGTCCCCCCACCCCACCCCTGGTTCAACGTGTATGTGTGCTAGTGTTTGTGTGATATTCTTGGTTTGCAAGTGCCAGGGAACGTTAACATCCCACCCCACCCCATCAGCCTACCCCTTGTCTTCTCTGGATCGAGAAGGGGCTCGAGTCGCAAGGACAAATTGTTCGAGTCGCAAGTGACATATACGAGATGTAAGTGACGCGGAGATGCAAGTGACAAATTTTCGGAGTCGCAAGTGACAGCCGCGCCCCACACACCTGTTTGATCCTGTCTGTGCCTTTTTTTTTTGGTTTTTGAACATTGCTGTATTCTATCTACAGTACATCATTCTACATCTATCTCCTGTATTCTACAGTACTGTATCCGTCTCTGCTTCAGGATTACCATGTACATACAGGTTCTGTTCAAAATGGGGTTCGTAGTTTTTATCTTCAGGAGGTCACAAGTCACTATTGACATCTGTTTTTCCATGTATTTTCTATTTGTTTAAAGCGGGCCTGCACCTAAATCAAGCAAATCCCGAACTCTTCGCGCTAGCTTCATGATGCCAAAGCTATGTTCGGCTCAATGATGGACGATGAGGTCCATTTGGAAATTCGACCAGTTTCTCGCGCCGCCCGGCGCTAGCACAGCGCTAGACAAAGACTCCCGTGAACCACCGTGAGGACATGCTAGGATAGAAAACGACAGAGATCGGGATTCTCTAGTTTGGCGCTGCGTTGGATCCCGGTAAAGAAAAGGAAACATATATATATAATATATATATATATATAATTATATATATATAATTATTCATTATTGAAAGGGGAATTGAGAAGTATCATTAGCAATTGGCTTTCAAACGGATTGCAAACAACAGAAAGCAGCAAAGCTTCAGAGCCCGTTTGCGTGCGAAGATTTCAGTTCTAGCTCAAGCGACACCTCCGAAGAAAGCCCCGTGCTAGTGCGCTTGCCACGAATTTCTAGATTGATACTGTAAGTCATGTTTTATCTATCAAATTCCACGATACCTGCATCAAACAGTTCAAACATATATTTGCCAAGAAACGTGCACCCACCAAACTGCGACTTGCGCTTTCAGGAACCAACATCGAGAAGACAAGTATATAATATATTTATTATTTATTGCTTATTTATAAATGTGAGACACGCGGTGACACATGCATATCCAAAAATTATATGAGAATACATTGCATGGTGAAATTCTTGCAGGTCCTGCAATATCCTGCAATACTTGAGCCTGAACACCAGACATCACCAGACTCAGGCTCAGCCCGGCTCCTGGCCTTTCACAATGGCTCTTGCTTACCTTCGCTGCTGCCAGGCACATTCTTGAACTTCTTAGGGTTGAGTTTTTGAGAGAATTTCATGATTTTCCATGTTCTTTTCTGAAGCTGACTGCGAAACGCTCTTTGGTCCTTTCATGTCCTTGGCAACTCTGAGCATCAATGAACTACAAGTCCTGCTTTCGAACGGTCCTCGAACTGCTTAGGCAATCTGCAGCGGAGGAGCAACTGTGAGCAGCAAGGTGGCGCAAGCAGAATCCTTTCTCATTTTAACCCCTCGCTTGGTAGCCTTGGTCATCACCCTTTTCCATCATTAACAGCCAACTCTACACGTCCTGCCTTATGAATCCTTATGCCCTATCAAGTTCTGCATGATGTCTTCATGATGTGCAGGTGTACTTGAATGAGATTATGCCAATTAAGTGCAGAGATGCAATGCTGAGCACCTTAGCAGCACCATCCGAATCATGACTTTCCTTCAGATTCAACTTTAGATTCAACTTATTCAACTTCAGATTGCTTTATGGATTGGGAAAGAGTCCGGAAAGAGTATCATGTATTTGCATGTATTTGCCAGGCAGACAAACATGTGCAAGTTGCATTTATTGAGCAGATAGCTGCAGAGAGCGTTACAAACTTCAAGCTGGCTCGAAGGCATAGTTCATATTCAGCTGCAGTTGGGTGGCATGGCACTGACGGTCTGTGCACTCTTTTGGCCCAAGTGGCAGCAACTGCACGCAATCCTCATGGTGCCTTTGGTAGATTTCGGTACTTGGGGTCTTTTTAGTCGACAAGGCAAAGACTTTCCTAGTGCGTGCGAGCACCTCCTATTTGTGACCTTTTGTGGTGCAAAAATATGCAAAAATGCTCAAAAAATGCTCAAAATATTCTAAACTTCTGCAACGAAAATAAATTTAAGTTCAGATCGGGTTGCTTCACCGATGCTATCGAATCTCAGGCATTTCTTGACTGCAATGACACTCAGTTGATCTCAGTTGTGCAGTCTGGTTGCGTGTGTGTGTGAGAGAGTCTATATGCTGCCTTTTTTCCTGTAGATTGAGGCTTACTTTAACCATCTTTAACCCGACATTCATATGAAATCATCTCAGAGTTGCCAAGACTGACAAGCTGCGGTAGTTGAACGAACGCCTGTACAACAACCAAACGACTATTGACTATGAATGAATCTCTTTGGAAGTTTCCTGGGGCCAGTCAAGTGCCCCAACCCAGTTCTTTTTCCAGCTGCAATATTTTGATGTATTTCGACAATTTTTAACGCATTCGGCCGCGAACTTCAAAATGCATTTATTCCATTTGGTTGGCGCTTCTTTGACACAACCAGCTTGCTCCCTTGCTTTGAAGCATATCAATCCAAATCCGATCCTTGGCTCAAGAAGGCAAATAGGCAAATAGGGTTCGCTAGAGGAATTCAATGGAATTCAATCACCAGTCAGTCACCTTTTGGATTTTTTTTCATCTCCTTGACTCAACTTGACTCCTTGACATTTGACATTTGAAGGTGCCTGGCCTGGTGACCACTTTGCTGATGCTTTCTCCAAAGTTGTGTCCAGAGAGCTTGACGCTGGTGCCAAAAGGCTTGGAGAGCTGTTCAGACCACAATCGGGCGATTCTGTGCAACGCGTCGCGGATGTTTCAATGATTGAGGCATGTTACAACCTGTCGAGGCATGTTGAAGCCAATCAGTGATCCTGATGCATTTGAAATGATTCCAATGCGCTTTGGGCTGTTTGTTTTTGCAAGGCGCTCATTCCAGACCCTTTAGGGAACTACTGCAAACGCCTCATCGCACGGTTCTGCTGGTTTTGGCAGCTTGGCGACAAAATATCCACGAACGAGAGACGCCGAAGCTACTTCAACTTCTCTCCAAAACCACTTGCAGACCACTATGATGTTAAATTATGTTAACACGGAATGTTCGGCTTTGCGCATTGTTTTGGTTTGATGGTTCAGCTGCCTTGGTTCTGTCACGGGAAGACAATGCCAAGAGATTGATGCCATGATGCTCCCACATAAGCAACTGTAGAATATCTGTAGAATATGGTCAATAAATGTCAATAAGTCAAGTCAAGTCTGGCAAGATTGTAGCATTGTAGTAGCTATATTAATGCTGAAGTGAAATTGCACGTGTTATTTTAGTCGATCTCATTGTTCAATGTCCTGATAATGCTTAGGAGCTGCCAAGTATTTCTGGACGCGGCTCTCAGGATCTCTCAGGGATTTTATATTCTTCCTGGCTTTACATAGTTCCTTTTGAACCCGGAAAGACGTGATGCTACTGTATATTGCGGTATTATATACTCTTCCAAAAAAAGATCTTGGGTGGTCTTGACATTTGAAGAGGACATGTCTTGGCAGTTGGTTTGCAATATTAGGCCATGGAGGTTAAGACATTGATCCGTTCGACATTCCTTCTCTTTCTATCACAACAACTCCAGGTACTCAACCAATTCTTTCACCGCATTTGCCAACAGGCACCTTGGTTGCAGTTACAACTGGACAATTCCACCAATTCCGGACCACAATCAGCAAGAACGTGCAGCGGAGGTCGATGGAGATTGTGCTTGATTGTGGTTGATATCTAGCTGGACCACTTAAGTTTCACGTGCAATCGTGCAGTCGTGCAATCCTTGGGTGTTGCGTTTGCAGGGCAACGATGCCTGGGGCATGAAGTTTCTGCAGACCATCGGCAAGCGCGAAACTAGAACAGTGGTTTCCAACGTGAAGTTTGTTTGCAAATTGGCTGCAGGAAAGGCTTGGATGAAGAGAATGATGTCTTATTTCATTGTTGAGTCTTTTTGTTGTCTTACGGATGCCTGCATTGCTACGTAATGTGCAGTGAAAGCCAGATGGACGTGCGTAGGTAAGAAAATATACAGATTAAGCAAGATTAAGTGTTTTATTTTTGTATTTTTTGTTTCCATGGTTGAGAAGCGTCCTCTACGTGACATCATATGACATTGCAAGATATGACACCCCACTCACAGTCAGACTGTGGCCAGCTGAAACGGCAATCAAAATATAACACACGGCAGAGCACACAAAAGGTGAAAACTCACAGAAGCTGTTAATTGGCGTGTTTTGGATTCAAATTGTTTTGCCATGAAATGGAATGTGCTGTTTCGAATTCAATTGATTGCAAAAGAAGACCGCACTGGTCTTGCATTTTGCAGAAGCTCACGTTTTGCCTTTGTGCTGGAATTCTTTTAAGCTGTCAGCTGTCAGCTTGAAGGCAAGATTTTGGGTGGGCTCCTGGCAGCCTCTGCATCCAAGCATTTGGGAACATTGGCAGCAGTTCTTGGCGGCTGCTTGGCAAAGACAGGCAAGGACGCCGGCATTTTGAGCAAATTGGTTTGCCATGGTTTGCCTGATGTCGCCCAAGTCCATGTTTTCATGGATGGATGGCCATGATTTTGCAATAACTGCAGACTTACGCACACATATATACTGTAAGTATTTGTAAGTTCAGTGTATTTCAGTGTGCTGTAACTCTGCCACTTGCCTTTGGTTGGTTCTTGTATGATCTTGTATGTTCTTGTCTATATTTGGCTTTGTGTTCGTGCTTGATCTTTGGCTGGGGCCTCTTGGTTGCAGTGAGTCAGCTCTCTCAAGAAATGCCGTTGTTGCGTTGAAGCAGCTGCAGCGTATTGAAGCACGTCTTTTTGTATGTGGCTTTGGTTGAGGAGATGAGGCGGGTAGGAAGAAATTAGCACCCAACTCGATGCATACTGCATGGCTCTTCCCTGGTTGGTTGAAACGATGAACGAAAGGAATTAACTTGAAAGGTATTTGTCGGAAGATTACCTATATCTCTGTGACTCTGTTTGTTCTGTTTTGTCTCTTTTTAGGCATTTCAGAGTTGAAAGTGGAGAGGGGAGCCAGTAGTGCAGTAATTGTCTAATCTCGCACTTTTTTGATGTTTTTTGTTCAATGAATTGAATGAAGCAGCGCAGCGAGGATCTTGGCATTTTCAATTCCTAGATTTCCTAGGGACTGAAAGTATTGATAGTATAAAAAGGTTGCCCTTGTCGACGCTATTCATAGACCCTGCTGCAATATGATATATTTAATTCATTTTTAATTCAGAGGGAAACTTTTTTTTGGAGTTTGATGAGTTTGGCAAGTCCATGTTTGCGGTAAAATTTTGACCTGAGTTGCATAATGTTGCATATGCGATTTGAATCGAGAGGCTACATGACTTGCGCTGTTGGAACTCTGCTTTTCACCATGACACAACAGAAGATGTCGTTGGCTGTGGCCTGGGGTGTTGCATACCTCGGCGAAGAGGCGCCCTGTGGCGAGCTATCTGAGTCCATTTGACGCATAAGGTGCCATCAATTCCTTCGAGGTAGAACATTGTACCAACATGTTTTGGATTTTTGTGAGCAATGTATTGGAACATATTGGTACATGTCTAGAACATTCCTTTTGCTCAAGATCTTTTCCGGGTTGCAATCGGAATTCTGCAGATGCTTGGCAAGTTTTGGAACTACAGAGGAGATCAAAAAGAGGAATCAAGGGGCACTTCTGGGACTTTTGTGATCTGAACCGGTCATTGAACTCAACAGACTGAAATTCTGGGGCTTTTTCCAAAGGCAATTGCTAGCTGCTATATTGCTGTATGCATAATTGACAGACACACCCCACCAGTGCAAACACCCTGTATATACTGAGCTGCAACTTCGACAGCAAAATTATTCTTTCCAGAAGCCAGTGAGCCAAGGTTTAACTAGCATGTCTAGCGAGCACTACAACAGCAAGCAGCGACATGACAGATACTGCAAGTAAAGTCACGGATTGTTCCCTAGCAATGTAGCAATGATGCTGAAGCACCTTGCAAAAGGGAGTCAAATCACAGAGCGTTATTCCTTGTTGATGTTTCAGCTGTATCTTTCTTTTATGAGACTGGTGCTTCATCGGTGCTTCTTTGTTCTCGTTCTCATTTGCCCCGCTTCATGCACGACAGAGTCTGACACAGTGATACGGTTCTTGGTGCTCTGTTTGTTGCTTCAGTGCAGGTTGCGAACGTTTTGGCCATGACCACCTTGGTGCAAGCCTTCCCAATGCAGCTGCGAGGGCGAGGGGCTGCTTGTCACATTCCACAGACAGAGAAGAGATTGCAAAATAGTGCAAAAGCAAAATCAAAAACTGCATGAGCAGCATGGGTGACCAGATGTAAAGACAATGGCTAAAGATCATATGATTATTTAACCGACAAAATTAGCGGAAGACTGAAGTAGTAGGGAGTCGACTTGGGATGTTCAAATTTGTGTGAAAACCTTCACAACCACCCACCTTGGCCATGTCCATTGCGAGTAGTAAGTAAATTTGTCGTTTGAACAACACATTTGTATGCAAGGGAAATGAAGCAGCAGACGTCAGTGCCCCAAAGGAATGCAAAGCATCCAAAGTTAAGTGGAAGCGATACGGATCCTTGTCACCAAGTACTCTTACGACATATGACATTGGGTAGTCAAGAGATCTCTTGATGTGGACAAGGCATGCTGAAGTTTGTGCTGAAGTTTGTAGGCGGGGGGAGAAATTTGAATGTTGCTGTATAAGTTTTAAGCATATAGCAAAGTTTTGCACAATAAATGACTGGAGTCATTGGCATAGTGGCATAGTGATTGGCGTAACTTGATGTGACTTGAGTCGTGCGATTTCGTGGGTGTCTACCAAGACCAAGGTCAGCCTGGTTTGCGCGCCCAACGCACTAGCAGGAATTGTTGCTGGAAGCCTTGGAGCTCTTAGTGCATACTATGCCACTGCAACTTGGTCCATTCGGAATTCGTGCCACGGCCAATAGGGCGAAAGAAGTTCATAGACTAAAGTCATCTAAAGGCATCTGACTGAAGTCCTACTGAAATTTCTTCTGTGAGTTCCAGTCTAGTCTATTTGATCGAGCAAGTCTTGCATTTGGTTCCCTAACACGGCTCGCAAGCACGGTGGTGTGGCGCACAGTACTGTTGATTGTGTGCCTATATGTGCCGATACGTGCTACACATGGCATGACATTTCAAAGTATATAACCGCTTCATTACGTGCCTCTTTTGACATGCGTCTCGGTGGAAACAGGGGTGAACCTTCAGGTTCCTTTTGTTGTCAACGCGGCGAGCATGGTCATCAGCCTCTTGGTTCAAGTACTTTGATTTGTATTGAATTATGTAGAATTACAGGTATCGGTATTAGACATTATTAGACTGTATATATATATATTGAAACTATAGAAATATTGAAATTATATCAACTTCATTTTTATACATGAATATATTCAGGTACATACTACTGTAGAAGTTACATTATGTATATTAAAATATATATATATCATATATAGTCATATGAGTCATATAGTTATAGTTACAATACAAATACAAGTAGTATGCATATCCATGTAAAATCAGATAAAGATAGTTCAAGATGTTCACCAAGATGCACCAATGATATGTCTTTGCAATCTACGTTTACATTTGCAGGCATTTTCATACTCCGTCTGAAAACTGTTTGAAGTGAAAGTTCTTGAAGACTACTTTCTAAGGAAAGTCTTAGTACTCGTAACAGGCATGATTGATGCATTCTGTGAGCTTATAGCCTTCTTAAACTTTCCTTGGTTGGTTTGTCTTTTCCTTGGATTTTCTGTTCCTTTGTGTCTCCCTTGGAAACCAAACAAAACCAAAGGAAACCGAAGGAAAACCATAGAATCCACCCATCCCCAAACCAAAGAAAATCAAAGGAAACCAAAGGAAACCGAAGGAAACCAAAGGAAACCGAAGGAAACCAAAGGAAATCAAAGGAAACCAAAGGAAATCAAAGGAAACCAAAGGAAATCAAAGGAAACCAAAGGAAATGGAAGGAAACCAAAGGAAACCAAAGGAAACCAAAGGAAACCGAAGGAAACCAAAGGAAACCGAAGGAAACCAAAGGAAATCAAAGTAAACCAAAGGAAATCAAAGGAAACCAAAGGAAATGGAAGGAAACCAAAGGAAATCAAAGGAAACCGAAGGAAACCAAAGGAAATCAAAGGAAACCAAAGGAAACCAAAGGAAATCAAAGGAAACCAAAGGAAATCAAAGGAAACCAAGGAAACCAAAGGAAATGGAAGGAAACCAAAGGAAATGGAAGGAAACCAAAGGAAATGGAAGGAAACCAAAGGAAACTGAAGGAAACCAAAGGAAACCAAAGGAAATCAAAGGAAACCAAAGGAAACCGAAGGAAACCAAAGGAAATCAAAGGAAACCAAAGGAAATGGAAGGAAACCAAAGGAAATCAAAGGAAATCAAAGGAAACCAAAAGAAATGGAAGGAAACCAAAGGAAATCAAAGGAAACCAAAGGAAACCAAAGGAAACCGAAGGAAACCAAAGGAAATCAAAGGAAACCAAAGGAAATGGAAGGAAACCAAAGGAAATCAAAGGAAACCAAAGGAAATCAAAGGAAACCAAAGGAAATCAAAGGAAACCAAAGGAAATGGAAGGAAACCAAAGGAAATGGAAGGAAACCAAAGGAAATGGAAGGAAACCAAAGGAAATCAAAGGAAACCAAAGGAAATGGAAGGAAACCAAAGGAAATGGAAGGAAACCAAAGGAAATGGAAGGAAACCAAAGGAAATGGAAGGAAACCAAAGGAAATGGAAGGAAACCAAAGGAAACTGAAGGAAACCAAAGGAAATGGAAGGAAACCAAAGGAAACCGAAGGAAACCAAAGGAAATCAAAGGAAACCAAAGGAAATGAAACGAAGGAAACCACAAGGAAATGGAAGGAAACCAAAGGAAACCGAAGGAAACCAAAGGAAATCAAAGGAAACCAAAAGGAAATCAAAGGAAACCAAAGGAAATGGAAGGAAACCAAAGGAAATGGAAGGAAACCAAAGGAAACTGAAGGAAACCAAAGGAAATGGAAGGAAACCAAAGGAAACCGAAGGAAACCAAAGGAAATCAAAGGAAACCAAAGGAAATCAAAGGAAACCAAAGGAAACCAAAGGAAACCGAAGGAAACCAAAGGAAACCGAAGGAAACCAAAGGAAATCAAAGGAAACCAAAGGAAATGGAAGGAAACGAAAGCAAATCAAAGCTACCCTACCCTGCTGTGAAGAATGCATGTTCCAGTGATGTTACTAAAGCCAACGTAGACGGTGTCAGGGAACACACGACCGTGTCAGGGAACATGAGTCAGAGAACAGGAACGTCGGTGTCAGGGAACAGGAACGTCGGAGTCAGGGAACAATACGTCGGAGTCAGGGAACAATACGTCGGAGTCAGGGAACATATGCGTACAGTGCACATAGTAAGGCGCGCAGCGTGTGCGAACAGTGCACAAAGTGCCTAAACTGGGTAAAATGCACAAAGTACGTAAAAAGTGCGCAAAAAGTGCGCAAAAAGATGCAAAAAGTGCGTAAAAAGTGCGGGTAAACTGGGTCAAGTGCGCAAAGTGCGTAAAAAGATGTAAAAAGTGCGCAAAAAGTGCGTAAAAAGTGCGTAAAAAATGCGTCTATACAGTGCGCGCCATGTCAACGTACGCAAAGTGCGTAAAGTGCTTGAAAAGTGCGCAAAAATGAGTAAAAAGGCGTAAAAAGTGCGAAAAGTGCGAGTAAACTGGGTAAAGTGTGCAAAGTGCGTAAAAAGTGCGCAAAAAGTGCATTAAAAGTGCGTAAAAAGTGCGTCTATACAGTGCGCGCCATGTCAACGTGCGCAAAGTGCGTAAAGTGCTTGAAAAGTGTGCAAAAATGAGTAAAAAGACGTAAAAAGTGCGAAAAGTGCGAGTAAACTGGGTAAAGTGTGCAAAGTGCGTAAAAAGTGCGCAAAAAGTGCGTAAAAAGTGCGTAAAAAGTGTGTAAAAAGTGCGTGAAAAATGCGTCTATACGGTGCGCGCCATGTCAAAGTGCTTGAAAAGTGCGCAAAAATGAGTAAAAAGGCGTAAAAAGTGCGAAAAGTGCGAGTAAACTGGGTAAAGTGCGCAAGGTGCGTAAAAAGTGCGCAAAAAGTGCGTAAAAATTGCGTAAAAATTGCGTGAAAAATGCGTCTATACGGTGCGCGCCATGTCAAAGTGCGCAAAGTGATGCAAAGTGCGTAAAGTGCGTAAAGTGCGCAAAAATGAGTAAAAAGCGTAAAAAGTGCGAAAAGTGCGAGTAAACTGGGTAAAGTGTGCAAAGTGCGTAAAAAGTGCGCAAAAAGTGCATAAAAAGTGCGTAAAAAGTGCGTGAAAAATGCGTCTATACGGTGCGCGCCATGTCAAAGTGCGCAAAGTGCGTAAAGTGCGCAAAAATGAGTAAAAAGTGCGAGTAAATTGGGTAAAGTGCGCAAAGTGCGTAAAAAGTGCGCAAAAAGTGCGTAAAAAGTGCGTGAAAAGTGCGTGAAAAATGCGTCTATACGGTGCGCGCCATGTCAAAGTGCGCAAAGTGCGTAAAGTGCTTGAAAAGTGTGCAAAAATGAGTAAAAAGGCGTAAAAAGTGCGAAAAGTGCGAGTAAACTGGGTAAAGTGTGCAAGGTGCGTAAACAGTGCGCAAAAAGTGCGTAAAAAGTGCGTAAAAAGTGCGTGAAAAATGCGTCTATGCGCCATGTCAAAGTGCGCAAAGTGATGCAAAGTGCGTAAAGTGCGTAAAGTGCGCAAAAATGAGTAAAAAGGCGTAAAAAGTGCGAAAAGTGCGAGTAAACTGGGTAAAGTGTGCAAAGTGCGTAAAAAGTGCGCAAAAAGTCATTAAAAAGTGCGCAAAAAGTGCGTAAACAGTGCGCAAAAAGTGCGTGAAAAATGGCTCGATACGTTTCTCGCCTGTCAAGTGCGCAAGTGCGTACGATGCTTGAAAATGCGCAAAAATGAGTCAAAGTGCGAAAAGTTCGAGTAAACTGGGTAAAGTTTGTGCAAAGTGCGTTAAAAATGCGTAAAAAGTGCGTAAAAAGTGCGTGAAAAATGCGTCTATACGGTGCGCGCCATGTCAAAGTGCGCAAAGTGCGTAAAGTGCTTGAAAAGTGCGCAAAAATGAGTAAAAGGCGTAAAAAGTGCGAAAAGTGCGAGTAAACTGGGTAAAGTGTGCAAAGTGCGTAAAAAGGGCGCAAAAAGTGCGCAAAAAGTGCGTAAAAAGTGCGTGAAAAATGCGTCTATACGGTGCGCGCCATGTCAAAGTGCGCAAAGTGCGAGTGCTTGAAAAGTGCGCAAAAATGAGTAAAAAGGCGTAAAAAGTGCGAAAAGTGCGAGTAAACTGGGTAAAGTGTGCAAAGTGCGTAAAAAGTGCGCAAAAAGTGCGTAAAAAGTGCGTGAAAAGTGCGTGAAAAATGCGTCTATACGGTGCGCGCCATGTCAACGTGCGCAAAGTGCGTAAAGTGCTTGAATAGTGCGCAAAAATGAGTATAAAGGCGTAAAAAGTGCGAAAAGTGCGAGTAAACAGGGTAAAGTGTGCAAAGTGCGTACAAAGTGCGTAAAAAGTGCGCAAAAAGTGCGTAAAAAGTGCGTGAAAAATGCGTCTATACGGTGCGCGCCATATCAAAGTGCGCAAAGTGCGTAAAGTGCTTGAAAAGTGCGCAAAAATGAGTAAAAAGGCGTAAAAAGTGCGAAAAGTGCGAGTAAACTGGGTAAAGTGTCCAAAGTGCGTAAAAAGTGTGCAAAAAGTGCGTAAAAAGTGCGGAAAAAGGCTGTGAAAAATGCGTCTATACGGTGCGCGCCATGTCAAAGTGCGCAAAGTGCGTAAAGTGGTTGAAAAGTGCGCAAAAATGAGTAAAAAGGTGTAAAAAGTGCGAAAAGTGCGAGTAAACTGGGTAAAGTGTGCAAAGTGCGTAAACAGTGCGCAAAAAGTGCGTGAAAAGTGCGTGAAAAATGCCGTCTATACGGTGCGCGCCATGTCAAAGTGCGCAAAGTGCTTGAAACGTGCGCAAAAAATGAGTAAAAAGGCGTAAAAAGTGCGAAAAGTGTGAGTAAACTGGATAAAGTGTGCAAAGTGCGTAAAAAGTGCGCAAAAAGTGCGTAAAAAGTGCGTGAAAAATGCGTCTATACGGTGCGCGCCATGTCAAAGTGTGTAAAGTGCGTAAAGTGCTTGAAAAGTGCGCACAAATGAGTAAAAAGGCGTAAAAAGTGCGAAAAGTGCGAGTAAACTGGGTAAAGTGTGGAAAGTGCGTAAAAAGTGCGCAAAAAGTGCGTAAAAAGT